AGCTGGCCAGGAGCCAGGACCCCACCCCCAGGTAAGAGGAGCAGGTGGGCAGGTCAGGGCCCAGCAGCCTCTCCCTCAGCCCAGTGGCCCTGTCCCTAGGGCCTCCCCACTGCACTTTGTCGTTCCCAGCAACCCCAAGGGCTGGGCGCCCTGTCCCAGAGCCAGCATTGGCACCCCAGCCCAGCTGTGTCCTCCTCAGGCTCCTGCCTGGGTCACCCTGGGATGGTGGATCTGTGTCCTCATCCACTTTCAGACCCGAGACTCCGAATCCACACCTCTCTCTCCGTCCCTTCTGACTCTCCTTCCCTGACTGTGGTCATTGGGCTTTTGTTCTGGCCTCTTCCCTGGGCCCCACCTGTCCCTTCCATCACCTGCTCTCCCCGACCCCATTCCTGGGCCTGATCGTGACCACCACCCTTCCTCACACACAGTGCCTGTTGCCTCCCTGGCCATCATGGCCCAGCGTGTCCCCCATGGCCTCCCTCTCTCCTCCCTGCCCACTAGGTGCCTGTGTGTGATGTGCTCTATTGGTTCAGTTTTGTATGTTTGATTCGTTGTAGGGCAGTGGTTCCGTGAACGGGAGCCCCTTGCTGTCGACATCTGGTGCTAGCACCCCTGGGCGCGGTGGACGGAGGCAGCTCCCCCAGACGCCCTTGACTCCTCGCCCCAGTATCACCTACAAGACGGCCAACTCCTCACCTGTCCACTTCGCCGGGGCCCAGACCAGCCTCCCTGCCTTCTCCCCGGGCCGGCTCAGCCGTGGGCTTTCCGAACACAATGCCCTGCTCCAGAGAGACCCCCTCAGCCAGCCCCTGGCCCCTGGCTCTCGGATCGGCTCCGACCCTTACCTGGGGCAGCGTCTGGACAGTGAGGCCTCTGTCCACGCCCTGCCTGAGGACACGCTCACCTTCGAGGAGGCTGTGGCCACCAACTCGGGCCGCTCCTCTAGGACTTCTTATGTGTCCTCCCTGACCTCCCAGTCTCACCCTCTCCGCCGCGTGCCCAATGGCTACCACTGCACCCTGGGACTCAGCTCAGGAGGCCGAGCACGGCACAGCTACCACCACCCTGACCAAGACCACTGGTGCTAGCTGCACCGTGACCGCCCAGACGCCTGCACACAGCAGGTGTGTGCTCCAGTGGATGAGTTCTATCATCCACGTGGGGCAGCAGCCCCTAGGGGGAGGCCTCGCCCACCTTAGTGAGGCTCCTGCGGACCCTGTCTCCCCCTCCCCTTTTATTCTAGATGACGAATAAAGCCCTGTTAGAGGATGCGGCTCTTTCTGTCCCCTTCCTGTTTTGCCTTCCTGGGTCTTGTACCACACACCAGACCCTAAACCGGAGGCTGCTGTGTGTGGCTGAGAAGGACCCAGGAGTCCAGATCCCGTGTCCTGGGACTCAGCATCCAGGGTGGGTGCTTGGAGCCATTGTGAGGAGCTCTGCATCCTGTGGGGAGCAGCCGTGCAGCGCAGAGAAGCAGGGCCCGCCTGAAAGCACAGCGAGACCTCCGGACGGTGGGGATGGGGAGTGGGACACAGGCTCGTGCCAGCCGTGGCTTGTGAACGCTCACTCAGACATGCTCTGTCCCTCCCCCAGACACTGTCGGCCCCACAGGGACCGAGTTGGAAAGTGTTCTTGCTGTAGTTTTGAGTTTTAATTGCAACACCCCTCACTCTTTTGTCACTTCTATATACTCGATGTAGGAAAAATAGAAAAACAGAAAAATGGGGAAGGAAATGTTCACATAACTTTAACAAATCAAACCTGTGGAAGAAAGATGTCAGCTTTTTGCCACGTGTCTTTGTGGCTTGTGTGAGGAGACACCCTGTGCAGCTGTGTCCGGTCCAGGTGGACCTCAGGTGGCCCCTGGCTCCGCTGCTCTTGACCAAGTGCCTGACTGCCAGGCCCTCACACCCAGGCTCCTGGGCACTGTGGCGTGAGACGAGGCCTCCGGAACCATCGTGGGAGCATGTGAATAGTACTCGCAATGGCAGCCAGGTAGCAAGCCCTTGCCAGTGGAGAGCACTGGACGTCATGGTGGGAAACAAGGCAGCCGTTCGTTGTCCTCCCATGAGCAGGTGGACTTCCAGGGAAGCCACAGGGCGGCTGACCATGTGCTTGTGTGAGGCATGTTCAGCCTGTTCTGCATCGGATTCTCAGGGCACACTCTGTGGTGTGTGAAATAGGTTTCTTTCCACACATGGCAGAAGACAGGGAAAGGCTGGCAGGATGGAGGGAGACGCTGACTGGTGGCTTGGATATGGGGCTGTCAGGGCAGGAGGGAGGAAGCCCCAGCTGGAATGAAACTCAGAGAAAGTGACCAAGGGAGGACACGGCTCCTGCTGCTGAGGCTGGGCACCTGACGCCCAGCACTGTCCTGGCACCAGACACAGGGAGCAGGCAGTCAAGTGAGTCTGACCCCATGGCCGCGCTCAGGAGAGAAAGACGACACTCAGGACACTGTCCGAGGTGAACAAGATGCCGGGAGGCCCTTTGTTTTGTGAAGAAAGGGAGCATTTAGGCAGTTTGTGGTGGTGTGTCCTCCGTGTTCTGAAATTCCAGATGATCTGTGTTGGATTCTTGGCTTCTACCCCATGATTCTCCTCAAAGAAATTGTGTGTGATGTGTGCGTGTGTCTGTATCACAGGAGACGCAGTGCCTGTGCAGGTGTGTTTAGTGTGTGGACGTCATTAATCCATAGGGCTATGCAACAAAAGACACATTTAATAGAAATAAAACACACAAGACCGCTGCCTGGTCTGGGGTTCAGCATGATTGTGACCAAACCTTTTTATAGAATTTCCTTACCTGAAGGCACAACACTCTGAAACTCTAAAGATAACAGAATATTTTATTCCAATAGAATAAACCAGGAATCTTGGACTGTGCATGTGATCACGTTGGAGTAGAAGGATGTGTATTTTGACACTGATGTTTTGTCCCTTGTTCCCCCTGCTGCCAGCCCATGTTACCTTGGGTGTCAAATGTGTCCATTCCATGCAAAACCACAGCCATTTCCCCAGGCAGTGTTGGGTCAAGAATCCACTTTTCTAGACCCACACAGCCTAGCTGGCTTGTCTGGACTCTTGTGGGCATTGGAATTGATGAAAATCACAGGGAGCGGGGAAAATAGACATGATGTCTCGTTACCCTGACTTTGGGTTTTGTTTGTCTTCTCCAGCTGTCATATATGTTCCCTGAATCTCATAGTGAGTTGCCAAATTTGAAATGCATCACCCAGTTGTCTGCATCTGGAACCAGTCAAGCAGTGGCTGTAGTTTGAACAAGTTATGTGTGCATGTAACATATATACATATATACATATATACAAGTATGTGCATGATGTATATCTTCGTACTTTTTGATACAATGTATTCATTTGTTAATTTTTAATTATATTTGATATAAATCAAAGGTTTGTTGCAAAACTTTATATTTAAGAAGTGTTAAAAAAAAGAAGTCCCAACCATGCAACTCAACTGGGACCTACTTAAAAAAAATTCTGTGATTGACTAGTTTGCTGCCTGAGTAATATTTATCAGCCAAACTTTGGATTCTGCTATTGTTTCTACAATGACATTTTGTATGAAGCAAAGTCCTTGGATTAAAATAAAAACTTAGCAAAAAATAAAAAAAAAAGCCCCACCATGCTGCCACTGGTATACGCAAGGGTGTGGACTGGGTGCACTGCCAGGAGGGGTCAGAAGAAAGTAAGAACTGTTTAGTTTTGTTTTTTTGAGACAGAGTTTTGCTCTCATCACCCAGGTTGGAGTGCAGTGGTGCAATCTCGGCTCACTGCAACCTCTGCCTCCCAGGTTCAAGTGATTTTCCTGCCTCAGCATCCTGAATAGCTGGGATTACAGGTGCACATCACCATGCCCAGATAATTTTTGTATTTTTAGTAGAGATGGGGTTTCACCATATTGGCCAGGTTGGTCTCCAACCCCTGACCTCAAGTGATCTACCTGCCTTGGCCTCCCAAAGTGCTGGGATCACAGGCATGAGCCACTGTGCCCAGTGTGCAGTTTGTTTTCAATGCAAGTGTGGGATCAGGTAGAGAGTGTGGTGAGGATCAAGGGAAGCACCTGGAAAGAGGAGGCAGATTTGACTTCCCTGGGGATCAGGGTTAGGGTTGGTTAGGATTACGGTGGTGATTTGGGGTTGGGGTTGGATAGATGGTGGGGGAGGTTCCAGGAGGCTGTGTGAGTTTGGGGCACAGAGCTCCTCTAAGATGCCCCAATCATTCATTCACTTTGCAGTTAAAATGTCGGGATATAGCTAGCTACATGCTGAAAAGGACAAAGGGGACATTCTTGAGAGAAACCTGGCACCATAAGTACAGAGTAGGGCAGGCACAGTAGGTACAGACATGACCATTGTAGAACCTTCCTGGAGTGGCAGGAAGCCCAGCCCTAGCAGTGGATTCAGATTGATCACTGTACATGCATGTCAGCCAACAGTGAGGGGGTCCCACAAGCCTGGGTGGGGCAAGTCGAGGACCTAAGGCAGGAGCAGGAAAACCAGACAAAAGAGATAAAAACTTAAGGAATGTGGAGAAGCCCAACATAAAGCTCCCTGCGCAGGACCCTGGGTCTGTTTTCCTGAAGATCAGCCCACTCCTCCCTTGAGCTGTACTTATTTTTTCTACAACAAGCTCTTCACACTGCATTTTTTTCCCCAATGAGGTTATCTGCTGTCTTTGTACGACCTCTTGGTAAAAAATCTTTCTTCCAAGTTAGGAACTGGGACGTCAGCTCTCCCCAGTTTGAGTTTCCAGAATTGATGGCCCTGAAAAACCTGCACTCCGACTTTAAGTGGTATAGGAGGAATGCGGCAGGGCGCGCCCAGCTGTCACACTGGGAGCAAGAGGGCCCGGCAGTGTCCCCAGTCGCCAGGAGGGGGCACACGGACACCACACCTTGAGCAAGAGGGCTCTGCAGTGCCCCGCCCGCCAGGAGGTGGCGCCCGAGCCCCGCTTTCAGATTTGGAGGCACCGCCTCCAGCCTGCGTCGTCTGGGCCGGCAACTTCCGTGCTGGGCCGGATGTGAGGGTAAAGCCATGTTCTCCTCAGCACAGACGGGGCAGAACAGGGTGGGGCGGCGCCGCCTCGCTTTGGGACAACTCGAGTCCATGTCCGTGGTGAGTAAAATCCTTCCTGTTTGCAGCGCTGGCTGCTGCGGGTTTGAGACCACTAAGAAGGGCTGGGTGTGGAAAACTGGAAGCCATAGCCTATCTGGATTCTGCGCACGAGGTTCTGGCGACTGCAGTGGGAGGTTCACACCGCAGCCTCAGAACACAAATGGAGCGTTCCTGATGCAGGCACGGCATCCGAAATACGAATACAATACCCGCGGTGCTCATGTGGCAAACACCTGTAATGCTCGTGCAGTGCCTCAATTCAAAAGTGTTCATATAAACCCCGGGCTCCCCACGCGGCCCTGCAGTCCCGACGTAGCGCTCGTAATAATCAATATTGACAATACAGCGGCTCACAGCTGCTGTTGAGCCGGAGCTGTCTCTACAGTGGAGTTAGTTGTCGTATCTGCTTCACGGATGTGGAATTGACGTGGTTGTTTTACAAGTTAGATTGCTTCCTAGTAATTTCCTACTTTCAGGAAACTTGCAACGGTAGTATGGAGTTTTCTTTCTCTTTTCTCTCAGACCCCCCAGCGGTTGTTGCTGCGCCAGATCTGCAGCTTCACAGAAAACACCCCAATGTCTTTCATCCAAAACAGGGATCCCTCCCAGGTAAGCGCTAGGTGACCCCAGTATAGGAGGCCACGTTTCTACCTGAGGGTTGGGTCCGCAGGGGCCACGTTTCTACCTGAGGGTCGGGTCCACAGGCCCGTTTCGCTTCGCAGCCGCCTCTGCCGAGTGGAAAATGTCTCTTTCCATCTGGGTCCAATTTTCCTTTTCTGGAGCCTTTGCAGAGGTGAAAAGCAGATCTATCCCCAGGCTGGGTCTGCCCAGCGGTTCCCCCTGGGCAGATGTAGATGCCCCACGTCAGGTGGGAATTTGCAGCCCCCTGGAGGAGCACAGGCCCACCCACGTGCCACAGAGATCTCAGCGTGATCGTTCCCCAAATCTCCTTTACAAATAAGTCTCATCCCGTCACTCTCCTGATTTAACTTTAACGCTGGTTTCCCACTGGCTTCAGGACAGGGATCACAGAACTGATCGGGCCTGTCACTGAAAGCTCCCACCTGCTGCCCTCTCCTGCCCAGTCCAGCCCAGTCCAGCTGCCTGCAGTGTGGCTCTCACCCACAGGGCCCACAGGGACACAGCAGGCTCTCGGGGTCTTGGGGACTCAGCACACATCTGTGAACTCATCCACCTAACACCCCCTTATCAAATACTCTTAAGATTCTGTCTAGCTAGATCCTTGAAGTCATGGTGGTTATGATGTCTAACAGCACAAAAATTCTAACGTGATTTTTTGAGACCAAAAAAAAAGAAAAGATAGATCATCTGTGAGAATCACTCTTAAATTATAAATCAAGGAAATAGATACATAAAAGCAAAGTCCATATTTGGCATAATCAGTAAAGAAAAATAAGTTCTCAATGTCAAATAAAAGACAGGGCTCAACTGATTGTTGAAATTTCATAAGAGTTTATTGGACAGAATATTGCCTTGCCATATTCTCCATCCCTGTGTGTGTGTATCACACACGTACCAGTTGCAAGATATTTCAGGTTTAAATCCTCATGTTAACTTTTTTTTTATTAGATGGAGTCTGGCTCTGTCGCCCATGCTGGAGTGCAGTGGCATGATCTCAGCTCATTACAACCTCCACCTCCTGGGTTCAAGTGATTCTCCTGCCTCAGCCTCCCAAGTAGTTGGGATTACAGGTGCCCGCTGCTGTGCCTGGCTAATTTTTGTATTTTTAGTAGAGATGGATGGGGTTTCATTCTGTTGGCCAGGCTGGTCTCGAACTCCTGACCTCAGGTGATCTGCCTGCCTTGGCTTCCCAGAGTGCTTGGGATTACAGGCACGAGCCACCAAGCCTGACCCACTCATTTTACTTAATTAGACAATTTAGTTAATTGATTAAAAAGTCCTAGTGCACATCATGGCAATCTATGTAAATATTCGAAAACGTATTTGTTTATGCAATGAACAGTTAGTAAAGAAAACTGATACTTTATTCATATTTGTGGGTAGTGAAAGGCAGTGAGGGGGTATAATTGTTGTGTCAGAGCTCTGGTGTAGGACTTAGGGCAAGAATACATCCAACTGTAAATTGTATCTAACTTCAGTGAATGCAGTGACTCTCTCAGCTGCCTCATGCTGGATGGCAAATTCTTGACTGGTGGAGATGGAGGGACACACTATCACTTTCGTTGAATCTCCAGTCTAGCAGGAAAGTCCTCATATTTCAGAATGTCATATTGTGCCAGATATTTCATTATCAGAGAAACTGCTTCCCAGCAATATTGTTAACCTGGCTGTTCCTCAGGTGGGTGTAGAACAACAACAACAAAAAATCTGTAACACAAAATTCTGCAAGTATCATAAGATATTTGAAACACTTGGCAAATATTAAATTTAGGGTTAGGGTTAGGCTTGTGAATTATGTAAATGTTAATGGAAATGCCATCCATGCCTTGGAGCTTGAAATCAGGAGGCCCTAATCATACTCTGTGAGTATGACAAGAACTCAGCAATATCTTAGTTCAGATCCCAGCTCACTCCCGAAGTCACTCTGTGATCTTGGGTCATAGCCCTTCTCAGCATTCTTTCTTTGTCTCATGTCAGAGACAAAGATAGAGATAAGCTTTCTGAAATGGTCCAGGATTAAGTGAGATGAGTTATGCAAATCTGTCAGTAGAGGGTCTTGGACTACAAAAGATGATAAAATAACCCACATAGAAAGGAGGGTGGGATAGTCTTTGAATAGTTGTGGGCAGTGAAGAGGTGACTTTGTGCCCTGTCTCTCCAAATGTTCACATCAGCAGTATCTTCTATTTGAGCAAACTTTCTCCATCAACTAGTTGAAATAGAGAGCTCATGTTTTTAAAGCTGTCTTCTACTTGGGAAGAAGTACAGATGTATCTGTAACTCTGGAGAAAGATTCCAGTGCCTGTCATCTGAGCTCCATGGGATGACACAGTTGTGACCAGTAAGCTCAATAGATGACAGACTCTGAGTACAAGAGGCATCTATTGAAGCCACTGTAATTTAGGAGAGCTACCTGTGGAGGAGATGTACAGGACTCTGTTCTCCCCAGACCCTGGGTCTGTTCTCATGAGAAACGGAGGGCACAGGCCACATCATTTACCGCTTTGTAAATAGCATTCCTGGGGTTAAACATGGGCCTGTCAAGGCTCAATGGCACAGCCTTCAAGCAAACACTGAGAGAATATCCATCCAAAAGAGATTCAGAAGAGCATTGAACGTTAAAAAAAATGGTTTTCTAAGTAAAATATGGATAATTAGCAACATTAACTATGTTGAAACTGTTTGAAAACCAGGAGTTAAATTTCTCTGATGTGAAATCGTCCCATGGAAAGTGCCAGAAAGAAGTCTTTCCTGTGTGTGACACTGAGAGGTGTGACCTATACCTTGCATGTGGTGACAGCCTGTAAATCAGCCACTTGAAGGCTTCACAGTATGCTTGTGCCACCGTAACCTGTAGCCACCTTTGTGGGTGAATCTGGGGTGCCAGTGAGGAGATAGATCACAGTGGGGAAAAGGCAGGGCCTACTCACTGACAGGCATCTGCTCTGTCAAGGCTGTGCACGGTTCCCCTGTCCATTTCTTCTCAACTTCCAGAGGAACTGCCCACTTCTTACATCCTCTAAAGGCTGTGCACGGTTCCCCTGTCCCTTTCTTCTCAACTTCCAGAGGAACTGCCCACTTCTTACATCCTCTAAAGGCTGTGCACGGTTCCCCTGTCCATTTCTTCTCAACTTCCAGAGGAATGCCCACTTCTTACATCCTCTAAAGGCTGTGCACGGTTCCCCTGTCCATTTCTTCTCAACTTCCAGAGGAACTGCCCACTTCTTACATCCTCTAAAGGCTGTGCATGGTTCCCCTGTCCATTTCTTCTCAACTTCCAGAGGAATGCCCACTTCTTAAATCCTCTAAAGGCTGTGCACGGTTCCCCTGTCCATTTCTTCTCAACTTCCGGAGGAACTGCCCACTTCTTACATCCTCTGACACAAACAGCCCCACCCAAGTTGTGGCCAGGATGCCCAGTAAGCCACTGTGCCCTAGGCTGGAGCAGTGGCCCTGCAAGTAATCTGTCATTCATAGATCAGAGGGATCCTGTGTCATTTAAGTGGGAAGGAAGAAACATTTCCAGAAGAAAGAACCAAGAGAGTGTGTCTGTGATATCCAGCTGAACAACATACCTTTTTGTCTTTTATTAATGAAAAATGTTCTAGATATCAAGCAATGTTAATTTTAATACAAAGCAATAGGGTGATAGTTTTTTCCCCCATATTCTGTTTGCAGCCTCTCTGCAAGTCCTACCTTGAAAAATTGCTCAGAGGCTGTTTCTGGCATCTGCAGAAGACGTTCTCTGAAGTTCACTTCAGCCAGTAAAGAATTCCTTCTCCTTAACTGCTGCTGCCCTTGCTGCTGCTGAGAGTGCTGGTAGAAGCCAGAGGATCCAGCAGAGGAGGCACAGAGGGCAGTGGCAGGAGCGGAGAGGGGCGAAGGAGTGAGGAGAAATGAGGGAGGAGAGCACGGAGTGTGCTTTTCTGCCCACCTGAGGAGCCGGAGCAGCCCCGGCCCAATGGCCCCGCCAACGCCACCTGCCCACCAGACAAAGCCAAGAACCCACACCCGCAGCAGGTCTTTTTTCATGCAAATCTTTTACTTAGATTAATTTTAAGGTTAAAAATTACCAAAAGTATTTTGGAAACTCGTATTAGGTAGATTTACTATGAAAAGTTATTGAAATAAGGTTTTTTATAAGAATGATAACTTCCAGAATCAAATCTATAAGCTGTAAGATGTTAAGTATCTAGTAAAGTGTAATATTAGCTTCTTTAAATGGAACTTACGCAGAACAGAAATTTGTTTTATATTTAATAGTGACAGCTTTGAAGACATAGTTTTATTACACCAAAAATATTAATCTTATTTAACTAAGATTTATCCAAATCATGTTAACTTGAAAAACATTTCTATCAGTTCCCACATTTCTAGGAGCTTGGAGAATATTTATTTATAAATGCTTATTTTTTTCCCAAGCCAGTTTAGAGCACTTATATAGGATTTTAAAGTGAATTTTGCAATGCTATGTGGAGTTAAGAAAATATCACATATACACAAAGTACGTTAATAGGCATACAAACACAAAGAGAGGTCTCATAGCTTTCATCCCGGTATTTTAGCCATGAATCAGGCATAAATATTCTGATGATTAATTTTAGATATCTGCTTGATTGGATTAAGAGATACATAGGTGTTGTTTGAGGGTCACACAGCTGTGGACCTGGGCAGGAGCAGTTCTTTAGTTTGAGGGTCACACAGCTGTGGACCTGGGCAGGAGCAGGTCTTTAGTTTGAGGTCTGCACAACGGCGCACCTTGGCAGGCACAGTTCTTACTTTAGTTTGAAGGCCACGCCGATGGGGATCTGGGCAGGAGCAGGTCTTTAGTTTGAGGTCCGCACAGGTGTGCTCCTTGGCAGGTGCAGTTCTTACTTTTGTTTGAGGGCCATGCAGCTTGGGGTCTGGGCAGGAGTAGCTCTTACTTTAGTTTAATGCTTTGCAGCTGGATATCTGGGCAGGAGCTG